CCATTTTCATTCTCCTGCAGTCACAGAGTGGGAGAGAACCACGAAGCCATTGAGACCACCTGCCCACTGTGCAGCCTTGTGACGGGGAGCCCTCCAGGCACCACCTTCCTTGGTTGGTTCTCTCACTGCCCAGGTGCTCCTGCTTCCTCCTGGTCCCTTGGAATCTGCCTTCTTTATTGCCTGTCCTCGCTCTGTGGTGGTAGCAGAAAGACCACGGTGGTCTTCTTCGTTCAGGTACTGGGAGAGCGCTAGCTTCCTTCCACACATGCACACAAATGCACGCACAGCTAGCATGTTCCCATGCCTCGTTGCCCCCACTCCTGTCCCCCATCTCTCTTCTTGGGATTTAAGCTTTCAGTCCCTGCTTATTCTTGTACCTGAGGAAGCGGTTAAAGCCGGCTGACTTACTTGCAGAAAATGATGAAGGATTGTTCTTCCAGTATAACTCAAAGCAGCAAAGAAGGATTAGTAAGTAGAACTGCAGCTCACTGGAGCACCTTGGAAAATGCCCTCCCATCGGGCAGAAAAATGCCATTTGGCCAGGCCCCAGGTTTTTCAGTTGGCTCTCAGGGATACTACCCTTCCCAACCCCATCACCTACGCCACGTTTACTTGGAGGCCACCACATGCATCACATCTCCAAGGCCTGGAGCAGGCTAGGCTGCCTTGTGGAGGACATTCAGTACTGACACAGGTTCACCAGGGGTCAACGTGGTGCTGAGGAACTGGGAAAGAGGGCGTCCCTTCCACCTGATGGACAGAGCAAAAGTCCCGAGAGGAGGGCAATCAGCGAAGTCCCCCTCTGAGAATCATCCCCAGAGACAGGAGCTCCCTTCTGGCAGCAGAAAGCCCAGCAGCACCCTGGAGGTGGGGAACCACCCGCCACACCCCCAAGTTCAGTTTCTACTCCCCAGAGGACATCGCCCAATGACAAGCAGCTGGGTTGAGATGCAGTGATGCTCACCCACTTGGCAAGAGGGTTTGACAGATTAATGGGCAAAGGACCATCAGTTCAAAAAGCTACATGGTACCCCCGCCCCCCACAAATTTTCCTTCATCTGTGAACATCCAATCATGCCTTTGCAGCTGCAACAGGTACCTGCTTCATTTTGATTAAGAAGCAGTCGGTCAGGTCTCGAGGGCAAGGGGAGTTGGGTGAATCCCGGTGCTCCCGGACTCTCTGAAAAATGAATCTCCTTAACTTGTGGCTCTTCCTGGCCATCATGTGCTGCGGCCCAGGCAAGATCCGCACCAAAGTTGGGAAAAAACTCTTTACCTTCAAAGAAATGGCACTGGGTTCCTTGTGCAGTTTCCCAGTCAGGCCCTGCCCACACCCAGCCTCTAGCACGGCAGGTTGAACTTCAGATCCCACGTCCTGGATCCACCTGCGGACACCCAGAGGCTCTGTCCTCCTGTCTCTACACCCGCCAGCATTTCACAGCTGCAACACCACACACCAGACTGCCCCTAACTCTTGGCAGCTGGGTGAGAGCGGGTGTGCAAACCCAGCTGCTGAAAGCGTTGCTCCTTGTTCTCATTGTGAAATAAGTTCATTTTGCCTGTGAGCGCCCTGGACTCGCAAGGGCTGATATGTTTGCTTTCCTGAAAAAGTTTTGGAGCAGCTGCAGATCCCGGGAGATGGTTCCAAACGTGTTTTCGCAGCCTCCCACAAGCAGCTGTGTTAGATTTCAACTCCCATCGCCCCACAAAAACTTCCCTGCTCTTCTGCAAAGGTTTGTTATCAAATGGCAGCAAAGAAAAGTACTGTTTGAATCATTAAAAAAACACAGATGCACCAGTGTTCCCTTTGGTCAAGATGCTGCATCCCCTGGATCGGAGCCTGCCCTGCTCCATAGGAAGAAGCCTTGGTTACGTGCACCCAAGGGGAGAATGTGGCCCGCAAGGATTGGCTGAGCAAGTCCAGCAGAGTGACAACATTCTTGTCCTTGTATTCAAACCGGTGGCCGAAGACTACTGAACAGATTATATTGGAGACAGCCTGGCTGAGGTAGAAGGTTGGGTCAAAGAGGGGCCCTGGGGAGAAGGAATAATTGCATTTACTTCTGGCATCGGATGCTTTGGTTTCCGAGCCCAGGGTGGCAATCTTCTGCTCTACCTCCCACATTTCTCCTGTATTGTACAAATGTTCCCCAGCCTCACTTTTGTTTTCATTAAAGAAGTAAAAATTAAGTGATGACATTCCATCACAGGTCATGCTTTCCTTCAAATGACCACTTCTGCATTTCGTGAGGACTAGAATTTCTGTTGGGTTTAACTTTCTCTAAACAGAAGGAAAAGAGAGCATCGACCCTGCTGTGAGCCAGAGAAAGAGGGAAGAGCATCAAGGAACCGTTGCTGTGCCTGCAGTTAGGGCAGGACCTGGTGTGAGGGGGAAATGGGCATTACCTGCTCGCGTTGGAATCATTCACCAGTTGGGTTCACACAGCGCCCTTAACTGGGTCCATTGTAGATCTCATGGCTGAATCTGCACCATACACTATACCTGATTGGTTTTAATCGTCTTTGTGTGTGTGTTTAATAGGGCAGCATCTTGTGAGGGTCCAGCTGGTTTGGTTAGTTCATGGTTCGGTGCCGGGTGAACCAAGAAAATGTGTTACTTCAGCTTAACAGCTTAAGTGTGCTGAATGAACACAATCGCTCTCCTGTCACTTTGACCATTCAGGCCTGAATTTCCGACATTCAAAGCACAAATGTTATGCACCTGGACCCATGTGCCAAAATCACACGTGCTCACTAACTTTTGGCTGGATCAGAATTGAATCCTCCCCCTGCTGCGGCTAAGCCAGCGTCCTCACGAGCTCACAGCCGAAAGGCCTGACCTGCACCTTCCGTTTTCTGCTGCGCCTCCACCAGGATCCGCTGGGCCTCCTCTCGGATCCGCTCGTCAATGGACCCCTTCCCCATCCAGAAGCTCCTCAAGGTGGTGAGAGAAGCGAGGGAGTTGCTTCCAACACGCCCCGTTGGTGGAAACAGTTCCTGGGAGGAGGAGAAAAGGTGCCTGGATGGCAGGGACATGACTGCCATCTGACCTCCTAGGGAAACACCCAGGTGTGGGAACAGCTCCCTGGCAGCTGAGAACCCGGGGAAAGGGCGAGCTGCTTCTTGGGCAAGAATCAGGCATGGCAAACGTCCCCACTTTCCCCTCCGAGGGGCTGGCTTGGCTTGAACGTGGGGTGGGCTTGATGGGACTGGGCGTTGGCGCTCCCAGCTCAGAGGGGGTCCAAGGAGATGCCCTGGGCCCCTCCCGTAATCCTCCAGGTCACATTTCTCTCCACTCCCCATTTTGCCTGGCTTTCCCCCGCCCCATTAACCAGCAACCACTCACCATATTCAGTGAAGGGAGCCCGTTGCACAAGGCAGCCAGGGATCTGGCCCTGCCCAGCCTTTGCACCTAGGCGGGGGGGTCGGCAGGAGCCACTGCTTCGGCCTGGAGACTCCAACGTGGGTGAGATAAACCAGCGTCTGGCTCAGTTTTGCTGGGAGACCACCACAACCAGACGACCCCCAGGCTAGCACCTGCCGACAGATCCCCAAGGATTGTACTGACCCACCTAAGGGTTGTGTGAACATGGCTTGCACAAGACCCTTTTGCACGTACTTGGGCTTATTTACACCTCATGTAAGTAACATCCACGGTTTTGGTTTCCAAACGCGGTGCTGGAGCCCAGTAGTGTTTCGTGACGTGGGCTTTATGTCCTGAGCCTGGCGCTGCCCACTCGGCTGTCAAGGTCCCAAAGAACAGAGCTCCCTGGAGCACGAAGGGAGCTGCCCGCTCTCCCTCAGCTGCTTCCAGACTTGGGCCGAACCTTCTGGCCAACCCTCCCCTACCGTGACAGTAGCAAGTGCATTGTCATAAAATGTCTTGGGGGTCATCCAGCCCAGCCCAGGGCAGAAATCCCAGACCATCCTGGACTGAGGGCTGTCCAGCCTTGGTTTGAGAGCCTCCAGGGACGGAGCCACCACGACTTCAGGGGTCAGGCTGTTCCACTGCTTCGGAGCTCTCATGGCCAGGCAATTCCTCCCGAGCTCTGGTTCGGGTCTCCGTCTGTGAGCTTCCACCCAGTGATTCCTGCCCTGCCCTGCCCTGCCCTCGGGTGCCAGGGAGAACGAATCCACCCCCTTCCCCATGACATCCCTTCCCGCCCTGAAAGATGCTACCACGTCCTCCCTTAGCCTTTAACCTCTAACCACTCTCTGTTGTCTCTGAAGTACATTTCTCTTCTAACATTTTCTCACTCATCTTGATGTTGTGTGGCCAATAGATGCTTTCATTATTGTCAACTCCCTGGAGTGGGCCTGCTGGGAGCAGGATAGAGGGGAATAATTTAGGAACATAAGGGATATAAAATCACCAGTCTAGCCAGAACTTTCTGCACTAATAAAATTGAGACTCTCAAGCTAATTTCATTTTCTTTGCTGTTGACATTGTCTAAGAGCTTCTTTCAACTTCTAGCCTATAGCGGTTTGATCTCCTTGTGGTCCCCAATCCAAGTCCTCATCTGGTCTCACCCTCATTAGTTTTATCAAGATCAGCCAAGCTTAGCCAGGTGAAGCACTTCATTCCACTTCTCCCCGTCTGGCCTCCCAAAGCACAGATGCATTAGCAAGGTTGCATAAAAAGTGACACGCTGTCTTTCTCCGCACGCTTCTCCAATGTTTGATGCTCACCAGTCAGTGCTGGCTTGGCATTTACATGACTTGCAGGTCCCTTGCCAGGAAGGCACCAGGTGTGAGACACCAGCATTCTCCTTTAACTTCTACCAATACTTCCCCTGAGAAATGACGGAAATGGACACAGCTCCTGTTCTTACACTAAAAACCCGAGTGTGCAGCAGGCCCAGAAGATTCTGATGCTTCGGGGCACCCCAGCCCCACCGCCAACGGCTGTCCCGGAGCAGGGACCCAAGGAAGCTTCTCTGCGCTGCATTCATCACATGGCGCCATGACCCCCATGGCAATGGCAAAATACGACCACCAAATTGCATCCAGGTTTTTGCTTTATTAGATCCTGTTCTTGCCAACAGCAGAGCTGGCTTCTGGCGGAAGCATACTCCTGACCAGGCCAAAAGTGCACATGAAGTTTATCAGCAGAGGGCTGCTTTCCCCCCATGGGTGAGAGGGGGCCGCAGCATGATGCACCAACCCCACAGGGAGGAACCAGCTCCTTCAGGGCAGACGCCACAACAAGCGAGCCAGAACAGTCGCCAGCCGAGCGGCTGGGGGCTCATGCTGCCCCTTCTCTGGAGCAGCTCCCCCACTTCCCGCTGCTAGACAAACTCTCCGCTCTCTCCAGAGAAAGGCTCGCGGCCAACGCCAATCGACGCCCAGAACGGCTGCTGCTGCAGCTGCTTCTGAAACGCATTTCACCTCTTCCTTCCTCCCTGCCCCACTGGACTCTGCCCCTGCTAGGCCCCAACCTGGGGGTCAGAACAAACCAGCCAGGCTTCCTGCCCTGAGACGATTACTGCAGCGCAAGACATGGGGAGAGAAACGCCTTCAATGGCAGGGAAAGGCCAGGCAGGGCCCGGCAGCGTGGGCGGCCAGCTGGTGACTCCTTCAGAGAGAGAGAGATGCCCCTTTGCCCAGGGCACGAGCTGGGAGGGGCAGCTAAGGCAGAGCCGTGGGCAAGTCAGTGTCTCGGCCGAGGGCCAGGCCAGAGCCGGATGGGAGCTCCCCGGGCCTGGGCGGAAGAGGGCTCAAGGGCTGGGCTGCCAGATTCTGCTGCTGCCCCGAACAGGCCTGAGCGCCGGCCCCCTGGCTGGGCCAGTAGGCTGCAGAGCGGTCAATGGCGTCCTGGAGGCGAGCCCACACACGCGAGTCATTGCTCTGGACAGCCTCGCACAAGAGCTGGGCATGTTCCCGCAGCTCAGCCAGATCCCGCTGGGTGCCGCTGTTCTGCCGGAGCAGCTCCTTGGTCCGCAGCGTGATGCCCAGGAGCCCTGACTTGCGCAGGACTTCCACGGTGTTGTGCAAGCGGCGCTGCCTGCCAAGGCTGTTGCCCCCCAGCCTCTTGGAGGCCTTGAAAGCCACCCTGCCCTCGCCTAGGTCTAGTCCAGCGCAGGATGGCAGAATGGGCCGAGCAGGCACCTCTGGGCCCCGAAGGGCAGAGGCTTGTGGGCTGGTGGGTGGCTCTTCTTGCAGCTTCTCGTGCCTGTCCTTTGTGGTGGGGGAGCCAGGAGACGCCCGGTCCTCCCCCACGCAGAACAGCCTGTCCTTACTGGTGTCTCCCACCGGGCTGGGTGCTTCCCCAGCCTGCAGGCCATGGCCCGGGTGAGGAGCGATTCTGGGGTAAGTGCCAAGGGTGGGGAAGCGGGTCTCCTTGGCAGAGAGCTTCTGGCTGGGGAGCAGGGGCTTCAGGGAGGCCATGGGGTCCTGTATGAGGAAGATGTGGGCTGCAGAACTGTGGGCACTCTCCAGGGGGCGCTGGCTGCTCCAGGCCAGGAACGGGGCCGTTGGGGACACTCCCAGGGTCTGCAAGAGAGCGAGAGGGCAAGAGATCAGAAGGGGACTCCTCCCTGGACCAGGCCCCCTCCCAGCCCCCCCCATCCAACAGCCATTCCTCAGATCTGCAAGACTCCTGCAGGTAAGGGAGCCTGTGCGGAGCTCCCCCCATCGATCGGGCCCGCCTTAGGACAGGGACCTGGGCACCAAACGCACCGATAGGAGGCTGAGCGGGATGGCCAGACCGGGGCTGCGTGGCTGGGGAGGGGAGGGCTGTGGCCCAGATGGCCAGCAGCACAGGCTACCTGTTTGAGGATAACATTTTTGACTAGGTAAACGGGAGCGAGGCTGGGAAAGGTGCTGCCCATGAGCCCCCCCATCGCCTTCTGCAACTTGGCTGGCCACGGGGGCAAAGGAGAGGCGGGCTGGTCCTCAGCATCCGTCTGCTCGATGGCGCTCAGGTACTCCGAGCTCTCATCTGCAGAGACAGACAAGGAGGGAAGCGGGTCAACGACAACAGGAGCAAAACTGGGCGGTTCTCGCCACAAACGTTTGCGTGTGCACCGGCTCCTGCCACTGGTTCTTGGCCATGGAGCCACCTCGGGGCTGCAAATCCTACAGCGTAGCCCACGCTACACGAAGCAGCTTCAAGAAGGGCTTGCGCCAAGCTTCGTCCCCCATTAAGCAGGTTGCCCTTCTGCTCCCGCTGACAATCCCACCCTCCTCATCCTCCCCCCCTCCACCCAGGGCCCAACACGAGTGCAGAGCATGCAGCTCTAACACTTAAGCCACAATACAGCATTCAGCTGAACCATCCCCTGGCCAACTGATCCCCCCCACTGGGATAGGCAGTGACCCTGGGCCGCCGCCCCCCAGCAAGGGAATTACTACAGCAAGCCAGCCACCCCCCACCCTGCATTTACGGTGAGGCTCTCTACCTGAAAATCCAGAGTCCTTTTCCCCTTCGCTCACTGGGTGGCTGGGCTTGCGGATGCCATTATGGGTGGCCCTTTCCATCCTCTCAGGCCGCCCCACGTGGCAGCCCCACTTTGAACGTAGTCTGACTGAGGGGCTCATCTTCTCCTCTGTAGACCGAGAAGAGGGGACCGAGGAGGAGGGCTCACTGGAAGGCATGGCCGCTCTTCTCCGCAGTCCTGTAAGATGGGCAAAAAATGGGTTAGGAAAGGGCACAGAACAGAGTCACAAAACCCCATGAACCCCCAGAAAGTGACACCGGTAGCCCCCGCAGCCCGCCAAACGTGGGTGGCTTTCAGCTCACCTTCTACACCTGCTGCGCCCAGCACGCCCCACCCTCTGGCATGCCAAGCACCTGGCTAAGGACAGGGCTGAGACAGCCACAGGTCAATATAATGGGGCCCCACCCCCAAGAGACCCCCAGCTCAAGGACAGGCATCCTGGGCAGGCACCGCATGTGGCAGAAAAGAGCAACAACCCAAAAGGGCAGAGGGGAGAAGCCTCAAGGACACCGCTAGTCGGGGGGGGGGGGGCTC